TTGATAATACATACGTAAGTATAGATTATCAATTTATTATCATTTGCATTTTTAATATATACTATAATACAAAAATTCATACAGCATGTACTTGTACTTTTTAGGTTATATTGAAACATTTGCTGTTACATTATTGTATGTGCTCTGGAACTGTTCAGTTATTTCGAGACACTTCTGTCAGAGGACGAGGAATGTCGGCAATGCTTTCGACAATTTCGCAGCTTGTGCACGATGCTTATTTTAGTGCCGATGGAGGGTATTATCGGCGACAGTGCCAAAAGTATACAAAGTATTGTCGACCGCGACACGAACGTTGCGCGGAAGTACGGATACGCGGGAGGTCTTCGATGGAATGCGATCAGTGCCGCGGAGATATTCGAGCCTGTGCTCGCTTACTGGGAAAAGCGCGTGGACACCGACAAGAGCATGCTCGAGCATTTGCTTAACACTGGCGTCTTGCTGGAACTAATGAATTTGTTCGTACACATGAACAGAGATGAATTTTACTCCACGCACGTGTCGGTCAAGTGCAAGTCGTGCCTGGGCAAACTCTGTACAGTTAAGAGGGACTTGTACAACGCCGTAGTGATGAAATGCAGATTCGTCAGTCTAGTATGTAAGTTTCCCGTTATAACTCTGCCGGCGAAAGCGTGCACTGTTACTAGGAAAATTATGAAGCGGAATGTCGAGTGGGTCATTCGTGAAATGAAGGAATCCGAATGTAAGCGCCGGAGACAATCGTGGAACACGTGTCGCAATTTAACTTATAACGTAGGCGTACTGTCTGAACATGTGTTCGAGGAAAGCGTGTGTTTACTGTTTGTTCACCTTCTTGTGCAGTTGCATCTCTCGACTCGACGGAGTCGAACCGAGCCCTACAGATTCTGAGAGCTTCAGGTATCTTGAGAATCTCTTTCGTGCTGGACAGATTGAGCGTTGTATATTACAGCAATAATTTGTATAGGAAAGCTGCGACTGTGTGCACATTGAATGCCTTGTTAACGTATAACCAGTTAAACACAAAAGCTTTTCGTAGATGGGTGCACATTAAGAAAATTACGCCCAAAGAAGTCGCAAGCTTAGCTACGCTGGACTGCTTGACCAGTAATGAAGATGAGATAAAGAGCGAACTTGGACTTTCAATCGATATCTCTAAGTACGACGTTACCGCGTTGTGTCTGCGTAAAGTCAAAAGTTTACTGGAGAAACAGGTCGCATTTGCAAACGGCGTGGCAGCGGTTCTGGAAAAATTGAGGAAGCTACAGCCGAGTGATCAATATGCACACACTTTTTTAAAAAACCGTCAGCCGGGATTGGCTGACCCCCCTCCCTCTGACCACGCCATCTACCGGACTACCCCCCTCCCTTCCTCCCCAGCGAGTATAAAAGGACCAGCGCAACGCGAGGGAGCTCAGTCTCACAGAGACTCCCAGCCTGAAAGGACCAGCGCAACGCGAGGGAGCTCAGTCTCACAGAGACTCCCAGCCCTGATGAAGCAGACTGCAACGCCTGCGAAACGTCGGCACCACACTGCAAACAGACGCGGCAACCATCCGGAAGCCATGACTAAATAAAAAAGGGGGTTAATGGGGTAATAAATTATGTGTTTTTTTAAGAGAGTGGGAGGGAGAGAACCCAGGCGAGATTTTGTATTTTATTCTATAAGCGTAGGA